CTGAAAGGGTGTTTTGACAGCAAGGGCCATGTCTGGTGGTTGCCAACAAACATGAGCCTTGGAAACCAGTCTATGGCACTGGATTTCATTCCCTGTTTTCCAAAGGGTAAGGCAACACTGCCAGCACAGTCACTTCAGGTTAGTTCTGCTGTTCTTTAATCATTAAGACTTTGTTTGCCTTCAAAACCATAGGGAAGAGGCGGGAACTACTGCCTTTTCCGCCTTTATCCGAGGGATGGACGACACTGAGAGTCGAGGCTGAGCACTAGGGCTAAAATACTCCCCAGGCATCTTAGCCAACAATCCTAATAGCCAAATTCCTCCCTCACATCCCCCTGGATTTTCACTCAACAAGGAGAACTTTCTGTAGGAATGGAGAGAAGAGTTTGCCCCTAAATGACGCTACTCAGTAGCCAAGATGCAGTTCATAGAATCATCAAGGTTGGAGGAGACCTCTAAGATCAAGTCCAACCATTAACCTGCTATTCTGTTGTCAGGCAAGGGGTTGTCAGGAGGCAAAAGCACCACAGTGATTTGGGGATAAGCTGAAAACATGACAGGAAGGAGAGTTGAATGGGCTGAGGAGTTGTTTTTCTTTCTCCTGTCCCTTTTTCCTTGTGCCAAGCACGGGAGTGAATCCCTGCAGCATTTCTTTTGCTATCAGACACCTCACTCAACTTCCACCACCTCTGCTGAGCATTACCACCACACTTGGCATAAGGCTATGAGAAATGCCTTCTCATTTATAAGTAATATATTTAAGTTGCTTTACATATATATATATATTCACAACTGATTGCCTCTGTGTTCCCACTTCCTCTCTTTATTTCCTTGTCTCCTTTATTAATGGATGGGATGTTGGTGTGTTTGGGGAAGGAGCTATCAGCTCCCAGATTTCCACTGAGGGTATTTTGGTGCCGATCCATAGCTTCTCCCAGTGCTGCATCACCCCCAGCAAAACTCTTCTTTAACAACAGGACCACGAGCAAATCTTTCTGTAAATAGGTATTTTCGTGTTGATATTTTGTGCTACACATAGAACTTTTTGGTTCTTTTCCAGTTCCATGGCATTATTCCTTCATTTTCTCCTTTGTAATGTAATGTTTTTAGGTCAAGGTAGACTTGAATTAATGTCATATTTGTCAGTATTATTAATTATTATGTCAACTGTCCTGTTAACTCATCTGTCCCATAGTTTTAGAACATGACTAGCTATCTGGCATTGTTGCAAGTGCCTTAAATCCATGGCATCTTATAAAAGAAACTTACAAATTTGGTGTTATGCTGCATGACAAAGACAAACACACCTCAAAAAAATGTTGTCCTTTCTTAGCTTGCTGCGTTTTACAGTTCTTTCTGCTACCAATTTCTAAGCCTTTATTATCTGATATTGAGGAATTACAGAAATGATGACGTCGTTCTCTTATTTCTGTTCACTGTACCAGAGCTGTGTATCTGTTAATGAGATACAGAGTCATTTCTGTGAAATGTATAAATGTTATGTGCAGGTCAAATTAATCTCTGACATCCTAGCAGTCCCTACACAGGTATTCCTGTTTTGCTAAGCTCTGCAGATTCCACTCATCGTTGCCGTCCAATGCCAACCTCCCATCCCACACAGCCCCTTTGGGAATCTCCCACCTGGGACAAATCCACTTGGTGTCAACTGCCTTTTTTTCACCTAAAAACCTCCCCAAGGCAAAGGCACAGCTCTTTTGCACCACTCAACCAAACAAAATCCATGCTTACCCCACCCTGATTCCCTCTGTGTGAGCCCTCAGTGCTTCCAGCTGCCACGCTGGAAGATTCTCATCCTCCCCAGCCCTAACACCAAGACTTGGGCGCTTTTAGGGCTTTCTCAGCAAAAGGGGAAATTCCCATATGGAGTTGCCTCTCACCCCAGTCCCAATTTATGCTGTTTTTCCATTATCTCTTTGTTTTCTAGTCTTCTTTTCTCTGTGAAAGAGGTTTTGTTTGTGGGACAGACATCGTCTCCCCATGGCCCTGGGCCGGTCGCTCTCTTTTGATGTAGACTGAAGAACTTTGGGTTTTCATCAACTTTAAACTGCTTTTGTTTTGCTCTGTATTTTCCCTGCAGCTGTAATTGCCGAGTGCCTGTTGTATACTTTATAGAGTTGAAATAAAAATAATTACTTTTGAAAACTGTGGTGATGGATTTCTTCTAAGCCAAATTTGGGAGAGTTCTTCTCATTTCTTGGAGTGACATGGGTCTTGCTTCGAGCAGGATTGGCATCAGGTGACCCACCTCAGAGCTCACTTTCAACCCAAATTATCCTGTGAACATCCTAAGCATGTTTGCAGCATATTCACTCTTCAGGGATGAAGACTTTCTTTCATATTTTGATTGCTGCCAATATGAGTCCAGGAAAGAGACTTCCAACATAAGCTGTGTCATCCCTAAATGGGATGTGACTGCAAACAAATGTGTCAAAAAAACTGGTTGCCCAGAGAAGCTGTGGAAGTGTTCAATGCAGATTGGGCTTGGAGCAACCTGGGCTAGTGGAAGGTGTCCCTGATCATGGCAGGGGATGAGACTGGATGAGCTTTAAGCACCTTCCAAACCAAACCAGTCTGTGATTCAATGATGAGTCTATGACACATAGGTGAGTAAAAACTGGAGAAAGGAGCAAGAAAACATCCTCCCAGGAGAGAAATCGATTTGGTAACTGCCTAAGTAGGAGCTGGGAAACATCACAAATCATATTGCAGATTGCCGCAATCTCAGGTTAATAAGGCAATAAAAACCCCAGGGTGACGTGGCCCTCACCTGAAACTGCCGGGATTTCAGGGCAAGGCGTGGCCCTCCTTCTTCCGGGCTAAAAATAGGGAAGCATAGGATCAATGTGCTGTGCCAGGGATGGAGCCCAGCCGTGACTCAGCTGCCCC